CTGAAACAAATAGGGAGAGAGGGGGAGGCGGATAGAAGATGGATAGAGGAGAAGATAGGTGGAGAGGGACAGACAGGTCAAAGAGGCGGGGTTGGAGCCAGTAAAGGTGAGTCCCCACCTCTTTGACCTGTCTGTCTCCTCTCCACCTATTTTCTCCTTTATTCATCTTCTATCGCCTCCCCCTCTCTCCCTATTTATTTCAGAACACCCTTCCCCTTCCCCATTTCTGAAGAAGGGTCTAGGCCCGAAACATCAGCCTTCCTGCTCCTCTGATGCTGCTTGGCCTGCTGTGTTCATCCAGCTCTACACCTTGTTATCTCAGATTCTCCAGCATCTGCAGTTCCTACTATCTCACTCATACACACACGTGTTCTCTCTCACACATGCACACACACACTCTCACACACAGTCACACACTCCCTATCATATATGTATTCTCTCACACATAGAATCTCTACAGTGTGGAAGCAGGCCATTCAGCCCATACCGACCATCCAAACAGCATCCCACACAGACCCACCCCTCTATCGCACATTTCCCATGGCTAACCCACCGAACCTGCACATCCCCGGTCACCATGGGCAATTTAGCATGGCCATATCTTGCATATCATGCATATCTTTGGACTGTGGGAGGAAACTGGAGCACCCAGAGGAAACCCACGCATACATGGGGAGAATGTGCAAACTCCACACAGACGGTTGCCTGAGGATGGAATCAAATCCAGGTCTTTGGCGCTGTGAGTCAACAGTACTAACTACTGAGCCACCATGCCACCCTAATACACAAACACTCTCTCAAACTCATACACACACTCACTCTCTCCCTCTCTCTCTCACACACACACACACTCTCAAGCACACACACACACTCTCTCTCTCTCTCATACACACTATCTCATACACTCTCTCTCACATACATGCACTCTCACACAGTCTCTCTCGCACACACTCACAAACACGCACACACTCACAGACACACATTCACAAACACACACATACTCTCAGACACACACTCAGAGACACAAACTCACAGACACAGACACACTCAGAGACACAGACACACACTCAGAGAAACACACACAGTCTCTCATACACCCTCTCTCACACACACATGCACACACTTTCACACTCACATACGCACAGCAGTGCACTGGAAAAACTTTGGTTTGGCAGAATTTTAAATATATCACTTTGGTCTGTTTTGGCTGTGTTGCCAAGAATGGACAGCGCTCCCACTAAGATGTCGTTTAAAAAGGCAATTGGGGCCTGATGTAAATCACACAACCCCAAAGTGTACATTACTAAGGCCCATTGCCTGAATCAGGTAGATGTTTAGCCACTCAGCGCTAGGCGCCTTTATAAATCAGAGCAACTGAAGCATCATCCCTAGTCAGACTCTAAGTGCTATACAGACAGTTATCACATTCATCAGGGAGCTCAAGTTAAAGCTGTGGGCTAAATCTTACCAGAATTTGGCAAAGTATAATTTTTGGCAAGTTTCATGGTGGATTTCTCTCCGCACACCCTGGCTTTCTCATAATACACCACCAAACTTGCCACATTATTTGTGGACCACATAGCTATGGTGCCCCTCTCATCGTATTCTCCCGCTCATCACAGGCAGAAGTACTGACCACTGCTGGGATCTCCCTGGATTTCTGCCACCTGCACTACCTTTAAAACCCAACCGTGCACTGGGTCAGGGGCTGGCACTCTGCAGCTGCCCTCCATGGTTCCTGTCAATTGCCCCAGGCATGTTGGGCAGAAGGTAATTGTCACCTCACTTTGCTGACAGGGACCTGGAGGTTCTGGTGGATGGGGGGAGGGGGAGGGCACGCGGTCACTGCTCATGGAGTGCGCCCTGAAGTGGAGGCCTGGAGGAGCAAGCAGTGATTTGGAGTCAGCAGGTTACTGCTCTGACTTCCATGTCAGGAGTTGCCTCCATCTACTTTCTATCCTGAGGGTGGGAGAATGGGAAGCTGCATATCAATGAGGCCAGGTGATGTCATAATGAAATGTTAATGTATGCTAATCTACGTAAATCAGCCTCTCGCCGCTCACTGACGAGAATCACATCACACTGTTCAACACTCCATTGGAACCTTTTGCCTTTGACATCAATAAGCCCCTCACTGGCCATCTCAAACAATTTTCTTAACTTTCTTGCCAATGACCACATCATTCAGTGCCTGGGAAAATTCCACCCACTTATGTTTTTCTAAAATTTTTTGCTGAATTTGGAGCTCATTGATATGATTCAGCACTGGAAAACGCAGCCCTTTTTAACTGAGTGCCAGCATCAACGGCTCTTTGATGAGGTATAGTGCAAGCTGTACATAAAATCTGCCACACAGCACCCACACTGCTTTATCTCAGGAATATGAAAACAGAACCACTCGCACCAACCATATCTCAGTGGTTCAAGTCAATTAGTGTTGGGTTCTGGGTGATTTAACGCTGTGGGCCTGCAGCTACTAGGAGTTGTGTTTAAGACTGCCTGAATCATTTCAAAGTGGACATCTATATTTAACAAGGAAATTACACTGTCAACTCATTAAATTCAGGTTCCAAGGTGGAAGGACAGTGTGACATACCTCTGTACCTCAACCACTGGGGCCAGATTTTTAATCCTGCCCAGACCACAGGGTACAATCTTTTGTGGAGTCACATCACATGGTATAATTATTGATTTCTAGATACTTTCATAATTACCAGATAGTCGTATATGTAAATTTTCCAGATATGTTTGAATGGCGTGACACTGCTATACAAGTTACCTACCTGCTGTGGCTCCATATTCTCTGAACGGATGAAAAGTTCAGGTAAAACAGATAAACAATCTGTGGAACAATAGCCAACAGCCGGGTTCAAGCTCCTTTGCTCTGGAACATTTTCCAAATCACTACCTGAGTACTGTCTTTCCTGAAAGAGACAATTTGATCTTAAAATTACACCCCCCTCACCCAGGATGTGCTGAGGAGTACTCATAGTTGGCTGTTCCCATGAACTCCTATCTACATTAAAGTTGAAAGGGCATCTGCAGTCATCATACAAGTTGCTCAGAGAGTCACTAACACTTTCATCAGTTGGAGTTGGAGGTTCTGGTTGATGAACAGTATGCAAGTGGTGCAATTTCTCTGGTTCACTGATTAAAAAGTTGTATTCACCACTCCTTGGAAGAAATCTGATGTCAAGTTTGGAACAGTAGTCAAGCTCCTTGCCATGCTTTCTGTCCACCATAATGTCTTGAGAATCAGTAGGAACACTGCAGGCAGCTACCTGGAGGTCTTTCTGCTTCTGTGGTTTGAGGAAGGGTCCTTCAGATTGGTCTGGCTTCCCAGCATCTGTGCACTGTATTGGTACAGTGAAAGGCCTATCTGAAAGAAAGCAAGAAGAATAATCATGAGAAAACAGAAAGATTTTGACGGAAATGTATTTTTCATCTTGAGACATTTTTATAGAGGATATGGAAACAGAAAATGGAACTACACAGAATTTCAGTCAGAGTCTGAGGTTGACAGATAGATTATAATTCACTACGTGGCCATTGGGCAATTAGCTTATGTTGAGCCATGGGTCCACAAATGCTAGACACCCTTAGAAAACTAGAACTACGAGGCACAGACTCAAAATAAGGGGGAGCAGATTTAGGACTGAGTTGAAGAGGAACTTCTTCACCCAAGGGGTTGTGAATCTGTGGAATTCCCTGCCCAGTGAAGCAATTGAGATTTCCTCATTGAATGTTTTTAAGACAAAGATTGATAGATTTTTGAACAGTAAAGGAATTAAGGGTTATGGTGAGTGGGCAGTTAAGTGGAGATGAATTCACGAAAAGATCAGCCATGATCTTATTGAATAGCAGAGCAGGCTCGATGGGCAAGTTGGCCTACTCCTGCTCTTATTTCTTATGTTCTTAAGTTCTTATATCTTGCTGAAGTCAGCATTATTCATGCATGAGACTTGCTGATGGGTTCAGTGGGGGCATTGCTGCCAAACTTAATTCTGTCCACATTCAGTGGGGATTGTTGCATGATGTTCAAGACCAATTTTCCCTCTGAAACCCAGGGTAAATGTAGCTAATTGTGACCTACCCTCCACCACCACCATTTAGCTGAGTTCAGCTTTCTTGGCACAGCCGGGGAACAAAATCTGGGATCTTCTTGATCACTGGATAAATTTATCTCTTGCATTCACAATCCATGCCAATATATGAATCGGAGTGCTCCAAGGGTTTTGGTGACACGAGCCACATTATAGTGGTTCGGCAGCTCAACAACGTCATTAGATGCAAGCTGAAGTGCAAGCATGAGAAGCCTGACTACTTCTTTGGTGTTAACACTGGAATTCTGACAGTTTGATAAAAATAAGAACCAACATCAGATGATAAGTGCTCATTATCAGTACTTGTAACCATGGGAGCAGCACCAGTGTAAATACATCAACACATATATTCACAATATAACTGTACGTACAGAAAAATATTGCATTTATAAAGCACCTCTAATGAACACAGGATGTCATAAAGTAATGCAAGCCAATATATTTCATTTGAAGTGTTGTTATGAAGGTTAACGCAGCAGCTAATTTGTGCATAGCAAGATCTCACAAACAGTAAACAAATGAATGTCCAATTTACCTGTGTTGAGTGTGTCGACTGAGGGGAGAATGTTGGCTCAAGGCATTGGACAAATCCCCTGTTATGGGGTCTGGGCCATGGTTTAATCAAGGGAATCAGAAACAAGTGGGCAAACCTTCCAATTAGAACTTAGGGGACCCGAGGGGCAACTTTTTCACACAGAGTGTGGTGCATGTATGAAATGAGCTGCCAGAAGAAGTGGTGGAGGCTGGTACAATTACAACATTTAAAAGGCATCTATATGGGTACATGAATAGGAAGAGTTGAGAAGGATATGGGCCAAATATTGGCAAATGGGACAAGATGAATTTAGGATATCTAGTTGGCATGGACGAGTTGGGCTGAAGGGTCTGTTTCCATGTTGTACAATTCTATGACCATGACTTCAAGGTGAATCCAGGAGGCATATTTTCACACTAAGATGGTCAGCATTCTCTTCTGCTGTGGGTGATGGGTCAATCAAAACTTTCCAAGAAATACATTGATAATTTTGCTTTGAATAAGGGAGGTCAGGAGGTAAATAGAATGAGATGCAGATCGACAATGGTCTAATTGAACAGCAGAATATTTCTGAAGGGATGAATGGCCTCCTGCTGTTCCTCCATTCCTCAATGAAAGCTAGTTCTGAAAGGAAAAATAAGCTTTCCTGTTAAGCGGTAGCCCTGTCATGTTAATCCTTCCACAATTCTTGATTTATTTCATCATTGCTCACTTTGATGAGAAAGAGTCATTACATAAAACACAGAACCTACCGATATAATATTATAAGTGCTGTATGGTCTTCCTTTAAATCTCGTATCAATTCCAGTGTCCCTTCACCTTTCGTGCCACACTTTATTGATAACATCTCTTGTCAAATGAAAAAAACAATGTACATCTTCCACCTCACCAATGGCGGATGGGAAACTTGCCAGGCTAGATTGAAGAAGTTGCTGTTACTCACCAGTAGTCATTTCTCTTTTTTCAGTCAACTCCTTAATAATCTCTGCCTGCCTCTCACACACAGTTTTCAACCGTTTAAACTCCTGGTACAGTAGTTCAAATGTTTCTTCCATCTCCCTAAAACTAGTGGAAAGCAAGAGTTCAAATGTTAACCATGTTAATATCACTTTGTAATGTCAGTTGATAAGTTGAGTCTGAACCACGAGACTATCTAGTTTTCATTTCATTGAAGGAGCCAGATTACTCTGGTCCATGCAAAGCGTTGTCCCCAGAAATCAATTGATAAACCAACACACTAATTTGGGTACAGAACAGGAAAATCCCAAGTTTAGTTGTTGGTGTGTGCTGTATTTACTGATCCTACCCAGGACAGGAATGCATGTGAGACAACGAGCCTCAGTATCTCCAGGCTAGGCAAGGGTGCGGAAATTGGAGATTTGAGTAAAGAGACTTGTCTCTGATAAATTAAGAACATTGAAAACCTTGGAATCATTTGAGAACCAACTGGTGTCGCAAAATAAACGATTCAGGTTATTCCAGACCAATGAAGTAACATTAGTCAAACGGCCTCCTGTAACTTTAATTGTATTGTGAAGTCTCCACTTCCAAGGGAAGTTTTGTTTTATTACACTGTAGAAGATACAAAACACATCAAAAGAATAGAAATTACTGGAAAAGCTCAGCTAGTCTGTTTTGAGGAAGAGTCACTGGACCCAAAACGTTAACTTTGATTTCTCTCTGCAGATGCTGCTCAACCTGCTGAGTTTTTCCAGCAATTTCTGTTTTTGTTTCCAATTTCCAGCATCTGCAGTTCTTTTGGTTTTTTACATCAAAAGAATAGCTAGAAATCAAGACAGAAAAGGAAGAGAGGAACTTAAAACAATCAAGATCACTAGAAAAAAGTACTGGGAAACTACTGGGACTTAAGGTTGACATGTCTCCCAGACCTTAGGATCTGCATTCTAGTCTCTTAAAAAAAGTTGCTTCAGAGATGGTCAGATGCATTCTTGAAAATTTCCTAGATTCTGGATTGGCTGTTGGTGGAATAAAAATAGCAAAAGTGACTCCTCTATTCAAAAACGGAGGAAGACAAAAAGTGGGAAACTAT